GCTTCCTTGTGAGAGAGGGAACCGGTTGGGTCCAGAGACTGTTGGTGCAGCAGAGTGCTTAGCAGCAGCAGCAGCGTCTAGCGTCTAACTTCTGACTAATGAATGGCAGACCTTGATTAGAGATTCCAGCTCTTCCCTGAGAGCAGCAGGAGGAATCCAGATTGAAATCTTCAGGTTTGGCTCACTAGGGCTGGCAGGCAGGTTAAAGCTCATCCAGAGCTTCAGACTTGAGACGGGTTTCCTGTGAGCAAAAGCCAGAGGCAGATTAGAATCAGGTTTCTCTCAAGAGACAACTAAGATTCTTTCAGGTAACAGAGGCTCAGGTTCGCTAACCAAACTTGGTCAACACTGCGGCTTCGAATGAAGGTCTGGTTGCTGCTTATGTAGGTAGGTCTCCTGATGGGTTGATGAGCGTCAGGTGTGCTGGAGGGCTCCAGCCCAGGAGACCCACAGCGCACTCTGCTGGAGAAAGGTGGTACATCTCCACATCCCAACACTCACTTTACAAACATCTGATGTCCCACTGAATCAGGTCTGTGGTTGGATTGTCAAAACACTGAAGTTAGTTATATTAAAAAATGCTTGCGTCCGTCCCACTTCTGAAATCAAAATTTTATCTATGCTTCACAGCACAGGTTTAGATAAACAAGCCAGGGCAAATACATAAGTCCTAAGGAGTGCTTTAAAATCAGACAGAGGGGTAGACTGTTTAATACGCAAAGGAAGGTCGTTCCACATTTTTGGAGCTTCCATTAAAAAAACGCAATCCCCGGTAAGTTTCCTTTTGATTTTTTAGACACCCGGAGAATCAGCTGATCAGCTAACTTGAATAAATGAGGGGGTGCATGGATGTGCAACAGCTCAGAAAGATAAGAATTTAGACCATGAAGAGACCTAAAAGTGGATCCTAAAATGTTCAGGTAGCCACTGTAAGGAGGCTAAAATGGGCGTAATGTGTTAATGCTTACTAGTGCCAGATAAAAGATGTGCTGTAGCATTATGCACTCTTTGGAGTTGAGCAATGTTTGTGAAACTAACCCCTACATAAAGTGCATTGAAGTATTCAGCTGGGTATAACAAAGGCATGGGTTAGTGTCTCTGAATTTTCTCTAGTGAGAAGGGGTTCTATTTTTGGCTAATTAACTTAAATGAAAGAAACTTTTTTGGCACCGTTACCATAACGATAGCTGGCTGTTTGAAATTGATGTATGTGTGTATATATGAAGAACTTCATACTATTTGGAGGTAAAATAATTGCCATCATGGCTTTGTCAAGCTGCTGCCTACCTTTGTGAAGCAGGAAAAAAGACTAATAGAAACTGTATCAAGCAAAACTTTTTATTTCCAACCTGGAATGGCTGACAATAGTTGAATAAACTTTTGGCTTTCAAAATGGTATCAGAGCCTCATTTGCTGGCAATCGCCGATACCGGCATTTTAGTGCTGGATTGGGGCCTGGCCGGTACTGGTATCGGTATCGGTGCAACACTAGCTATAACCAGGATGTCGAATTTTTGGGTCAGCATCCATTCTGACACAAAGGTTAGTAGTAACTGACTTCCTGTAAAGGGTTATGTAACTTTAATCCTAAAATTCACTAAATTAAGTCTTACAGTATACTACGTTCACACCTAACTTTGAGCAGCAAAAAAGCACCTGCTGCTTCAGGTGATGCTTCTGCTGGTCCTGTGTTCAATGGCAGAGAGTGGCTTTGCTATATTTGGTTATAAGTGGGTAAAAAGTATTTTTATATATGTTTTTAAGGAAAAAAGTCCAACTCAAAATATCATCTGTGCGGTCAGTTCAAGATCATGACCCTGCCTTCAGATATTATTTCACTGTCGGACCAGCACAAAACCCCCGTACACCGGCGCTGCTCTGTCACTGGAAATACCTAGCAACAGCTGCCTCTGGCCCTGTCGCCTCTTGGGGTTTTCCACTACTGTTCATGGTGGCTGGAAGGAGATGTTAGCGTTTTTCATGTACGTAATCCAAACTGCAGTCACCAAAATAATAAATGCGTACATATTTTGTCAGTAGGTTTTGTCATTTTAAGCCAATTTAGGCGTTTCAGAGGCATGATCATGGCGATCTGCATCAGCAGTAATGTGTCTGTTTCCCTGCCAGCTCCCAGATCAGCTTCTCTGATTGGTTAATGTGGCATGTCAAGTAGCAAAAGATACATTTTTCCAACTCAAGCAGCTGCTGCTGGTGAAGCGCGTCACGCGCATCAGATATTCAGCAGCTCATGAGGCGCTTCTGCAGCTGCTCAGATGCGTCAAGATGCGCTGCTCCTGCTGCTCGGAACACGAGCCTTGATGCGCTTCAACCATTGACTTTGCATGTAGACCAGCTGCTTTTGCTGCTCCAGTCGCATGCGGAATGAATGTAGCATTTATCTTATTACATTTTAAGAAATTAAGGGCAATTATAACAGCATAACGTTTCCATCTTTCTTGCTTAGTGGAACATAAATGTGGCTATCATCTGCGTATCATTTAAAATAAACACCATCCTCCTTTTTCAGCCAAGGAAAAGTAGATGAAGAGCAAAAAATATATATATTTAATGTCTCTGATTCTCTGGTTTTGGCTACAAATTTCAGGTTATATTTTTTGTTACAAATTATGTTGCGTTTTGTTTTTTCATATTGGATTTTTACTCTATAGACAGTTATGTTAAAGGATTTGTTGTAAAATGTAATTCTTCTAATGTTCCCAAGTAAGACTGCAGCAGCATTGTGTATCCAGAATAATATGATAGATATTTGATCTTAATCTTTAACAAAACACATATTAGTTGACGAACTAGTAAAAAATTGTGTAGTGGACTGACATTGTTTAATAGAAATTACAAAGATGTTTATTAAACTCTGGTTCAGTAATATATACAGTAAATGACTAACATATGAGTGAAATGATAGGCTTTAGATTAGTTTGTCATTGTTCTACTGTATATAATAGGCCCCTGAAGTGTGATGCATGTCTATAGGGACAAAATGTGGAGCCAATATAACTGTGTGCAATTTAGACAAATTTTCTCACTCATTTGTGATTCAGCAAAGGTCATAGTGGCTGACACAATTTGATTATTTACTGAGCCACAGTAGATTCCATTCAGGAAGTCCATTTTGACATTTTGGAGCTAGAAATAAAGCCTGACTAACAGGCATATATAGGGCTCCTCTGCACATTTTGACAGGTACTTATTTTTGGTTGTTTTATTAAAGAAATAAAACAAATTTTTGCATTTTTTTTTTGTACTTTAATCTGGTTCCCCACTGCCTTTAGAAAACATTCACATATAACATATATAGCAGCTGGTGTGGGTGTAGTACAGCAATTCAATTTCAATCATTTTTTAAACGACACCCTATCTTACTTATTGTAATACTTGGTATCTTAAATTTTCCTTGGGAACTTCTATTCTGATATGGTGAACTTTATTTCCCCACAGACATTCACAGAAGGCATCACTAACCAGCTGATTGGCTGCTACGTTGGCAACCTCCAGGACTCTGGTTGTGTTCTTGTCCGTCTTTACGGCAGAATGACAGAACTTTATGTGAATCGCGATCGAGAGGTAGAGATGTTCCAGGTGTTCCACGCCCATGGCTGCGGCCCCGAGATCTACTGCAGCTTCCAGAATGGCATCTGTTACGAGTTTGTCCCCGGAAATGTGTTGGAAGATAAGCTACTGCAACAGCCATCCATCTACAGGTCTCTGCTGGCACAAAGCTTCACTTACCTCATTTATATTGACCTGGGAAGAAGTAGGACGAGTAACAAAAAAAAAAAAAAAAAGAGAGATGAATACATGAGGGAGTTTGTTATAAGATTAAAGAATGAACAAATCCTGATAAACAAATAAAGTATAATGAGTAAAATGCAACATTGTAGAGTGGACTGCATAACTAGGATTTATACTATATGTGTTAGAATGAAGCTGTTTGAATAAAGCCCTCTATACTGTACGTAACAATTGATGGGTATAGATAAAGTCTGACCATCGTCTTGTAGATCACCTCCTCTGTCTTCTCTCATATTCTCCCTCCTACTCAATCCCTGATAGCTGAAAAAAATTCCAAATTGAATCAACATGTTCTTTTTTCATGCATCTAAACTGCAACTTGATAAGACAAAAAATATTCAGAGATAGAACAACTTAACCAGTTGACATTTAATTGTCTTACAAATATCAAGATTTTAAGTTTTCACTTAATGTTTTGGGGTTGAGTGTTACTGTTAAAGTACTGTAAATTTGTAGAAAAATGGTACAGTTTGTTGACATGTAGCCTTGACAGGTACTACAGGGTACAAATAAACTATGCTAAAGTGTTTGAATTAACAGCTATTGTTACCACTCGGGTGGGCGCAGAGCGAATTTAAAGCCCTATTTACATTACCCTTTTGAAACAGTGACTAAGATAACTATTGAGTGTAAATGGAATGCAGCTGAGCAGTTCAACAGTAGAGCTCGGCGCAGTTCAGTTGAGGCTCGGTTCTCTGATAACAAAGAGCTCATGAGCAGACCATCTCATTTTCTATTTAGAGTCAGCTGACTCATTTTGAGGCTTTGCAATTCAAAGAAGTTTTCACTTGCTGACGACACCAACTTCTTCTCAGCTTCCTAACAATGAATGGCATCAAAAGAGTGTGGTGGGACTTGGGATGACACAGAGACTGAGATTCTCATTGAAATTTGAGTGGAGGATCCTATCCAGGCACATAAGTTCCTGTATGTTATAGGCGCCGCCATTTTTGTTGCGTTATTCCCCGCATTGAGAGCTGTAATATGGTCGACGGCTGATAGGAGGTGAGGAACCGTGCTAGGATGACGTGTAAATGGTGGTAAGAACCAAGCTCAGCCCCGTTAACTGATCCAAGTTCTGTCCAAACTTGGCACGGATCGGCTATTAAAAATGGGGCATTAGAAAACTCTGATTTTAGTTTTAGTTTTTTTAGTTTAAATGCTGTGAACAGTGTTAACATTCAAATTATCATATCTTCTTTAATCCTTTTTCAATTTCCACAATTTTGACATCACCGGAAAGGCTTGACTCTTTTGACTTTTTAGGATCTAGTATTAACTCCAAACCCTGTTTTTGCCACAGCCTATCATGTTCAAAGAACATAACCAATGAGGCAATAATATCACAGTTTAGTGTGCATTCTTGTGTTTAAGAAGCAAAGTTTGTCTTGAGGAGTATACATTGAGTTCATATTAGCTTTAAAAAAACAAATACTGGGGAAAATCTACATTTTTTCTCCTGGTTTTTTCTTGTCTTAGTAATTTCATCTGACCTAGTGGTTAATAAAATTTTCATTATATTGGTTTTTCAGTGTTTAGTCCTGTTTCGCTCCTAAACATAACTCTTTTATGGTGCTCTATAGCCTGATTTACACTACCCTTTTGAAACTGTGCTGAGATCGGTACGAGTACGGTAACCAAGATAACTCTTCAGTGTAAATGGCACGACCTACACACCGGACCGTGCCAGACACAACCAACTGCGCTAAACTGGTACTAGTTCATCAGTAGGGCTCAGTACGCTTCAGTTCTGGCTCTGTTCTCAGATAACAATGATAACATGAGCAGACTGTATCATCTCCTTACAGTCAGCCTCTATAATCATTAAAATTTCAGACTTTCATAAAATTACTAGCTTCCCTACTGTGCCACACGATTTCCAGTGATGATTCTGCTTAGCAGTGTGACAAATCTCAACTCCTGTAATTTTTTTCCTGTGTCTGTAAG